GATTCAGTGGGACTCGAAGCATCATAAGGCGCTCGTTGATCCCAATAAGCATTTCAGTTAGCCTGTGTAGGATGCATTGGCGGATGGCAAAGCCAACTCCAAAAATGCGGTTTCTCTCTGCAGCAGGTTTACCCTTCCAGAAAAAGGTGTAGCCAGACCCCCATTCTGTGAGTTGGCCCTCATCTGGGAGCCGGGACTCACTGATGGTGGTGTCGATATTATACTTAGCCAGCCCTTGCCACAAGGACAGTTCTTCTTACAGGATGCGCATTTGTGTCAGTATCGAGAAGGGTCCTGACACTCCATGCAGCGACCATAAGAGGTTGTATGGTTTGTTTTTGTTTGGATCTGTGATTTTGATGCTGTTTCGACCGCATAAGGATGACCTTACTGGGTGCGGTTACCCAGTCAGGTTGGGCAGAGTGAGCAGAGTGGCTCCTCGTAAGGGCTGCTCAATCGCACAGACAGGACCGGATTGCACTGCTGCCTAGATCCCAGTGCATAAGCGACCATCTTATCTGTGCCGCCCATGTGCAGAGTTGTGACTGGAGACTCCCGGAAGTCATCTCTGCTTGTCCCCGTCGCCACTCGTCCGTCGCCATAGGACTTTTGGGGGTATAGGGGTTTTCATGATGATGAGAGGTATGGTGAGCTGGGTGATGGCTGCGTGTGAGTTGATTTATGTGATGAGGCAGGAGCGCAGGCTGCAACCACATCTTGGTTAATCTGCAAGGCAGCGGGGAGGTGGCTGGTAGGCGCCAGGACGTGTCCACATGCCAGTGGGCCTATGCGCCCTCTGGGGCCCACTACTACTCCGAGATCCCCTGCTCATCTAGCCTGGGCCCACGAGGCACCCAGTTACCCTGTGTTGCCACGAGGAGGCACAGCAGGAGTGTTGATGGTGAGGAGGCTGTGTACTGGCAGGGGAAGACTTATGCAAGTTGCTTCCCTGTTCGCCACGAGGGCGAGCCAGCGGCGGCAGCTGAAAGCGAGAGGGAGCAAGCAGTGCCTGCACCTAAACACTGACATCATGCTGCCATACTAGACGCATTTCACCACCCTGTGTAGTGTGCACACAAACACACACACACAAAACAAACACAAACACAAAGGGCACACATACAGATACGCACACAGAAAGTCAAACAGTTACATACACAGCCACCCGGCAACACTCGACCCAAGACTCCTCTGCACCACACAATATTTAATTAACACACCAACCACTATAGCACAGCCCTACAGCGCCGCCCTCTGTGTGTGTGAGGAGGGCTAGGGGTTCCAAGTCAACATCTAACTGAATTATTTCATGTTAGTTCACACACACACTTATGTTACTTGTATATTATTTGTAATTCGTAACCCATTCCCCAAATATGTAACTGTATATTTTCAGCCTTCTGGCTGCCAAGCTCTTTCAATAAACCGTTAATTATTATTATTATTACACACACACACACACACATCGATAAATAAACCACTATGTTTACAAACCAGAGACAGACAGACTAGTGAGTAAGTCCATTAATCTCACACCTGGCCACACCTGTGTACCTCATACCTGGCCACCTATATACCTCATGGCCACCTTTGTGTACCTCATACCTGGCCACACCTGTGTACCTCATACCTGGCCACCTCTGTGTACCTCATTCCTGGCCACCTTTGTGTACCTCATTCCTGGCCACCTATATACCTCATGGCCACCTCTGTGAATCTGGCCACACCTGTGTACCTGGCCATCTGTGTACCTGGCCACACCTGTGTACCTGGCCATCTGTGTACCTCATCCACCAAACACTCTGACATCACTTAAAAAATAAAGGATCACCTGAAGAATAGCCCCCCCCCCCAGCTTATCTCACTCTGGATTAAACACCCTGACACTACTGGGGGGGGGTAGGGGTAGGGGTAGGGGTAGGGGTAGGGGTAGGGGTAGGGGTAGGGTAGGGGTAGGAGAGTAGGGTAGGGTAGGGGTAGGGTAGGGTAGGGGTAGGTAGGTGTGGGCAGAGGTGGGGTAGGAGTGGGGTATGCAAGGTAGAGTAGGTAGGGGTAGGGAAGGTAGGGTAAGGCAAGGTAGAGTAGGGTAGGGTAGGGCAGGGTAAGGTAGGGTAAGGCAAGGTAGTAGGGTAGGTAGGGTAAGGTAGGGTAGGCACACACACACACACACACACACACACACACACACACTAGCCATTTCATCGTTAACCCCCAACTATGACCCCTATGACCCTTTAGAGAACACAGACCTTAAAACACCCTCTACTGACCTCTATAAAGTGACCAGACGAGTGGTAATGTCGGGTCAAAGCTGACATGAAACAACCTCTCCTGTGTTGAGTGTTTGTTGTGTGTTACGAGTGTTTATGAGTGTTTGTTGTGTGTTATGAGTGTTTGTTGTGTGTTATGAGGTTTTGTTAAGAGTGTTTTGTGTGTTAGTGAGGTGTTTGTTATGGAGTGTTTGTTGTGTGTTATGAGTGTTTGTTATGAGTGTTTGTTGTGTTATGAGTGTTTGTTATGAGGTTTGTTGTGTGTTATGAGTGTTTGTTATGAGTGTTTGTTGTGTGTTATGAGTGTTTGTTGTGTGTTATGAGTGTTTGTTATGAGTGTTTGTTGTGTGTTATGAGTGTTTGTTATGAGTGTTTGTTATGAGTGTTTGTTGTGTGGTTATGAGTGTTTGTTATGAGTGTTTGTTGTGTGTTATGAGTGTTGTTGTGTGTTATGAGTGTTTGTTAGTGAGTGTTTGTTGTGTGTTATGAGTGTTTGTTAAGAGTGTTTTGTTGTGTGTTATGAGTGTTTTGTTGTTATGAGTGTTTGTTGTTTGTAGGGTTGTTGTTTGTTATGAGTGTTTGTTGTGTGTTATGAGTGTTTGTTGTGTGTTATGAGTGTTTGTTATGAGGTTTGTTGTTTGTGGTTGTTGTTTGTTATGAGTGTTTGTTGTGTGTTATGAGTGTTTGTTGTGTAAGTGAGTGTTTGTTATGAGTGTTTGTTGTGTGTTATGAGTGTTTGTTGTGTGTTATGAGTGTTTGTTATGAGTGTTTGTTGTGTGCTATGAGTGTTTGTTATGTGTTATGAGTGTTTGTTGTGTGTTGAGAGTGTTTGTTATGAGTGTTTGTTGTGTGTGAGTGTTTTGTTGGTGAGTGTTTGTTGTGTGTTATGAGTGTTTGTTATGAGTGTTTGTTGTGTGTTATGAGGTTTGTTATGAGTGTTTGTTGTTTGTGGTTGTTGTTTGTTATGAGTGTTTGTTGTGTTATGAGTGTTTGTTGTGTGTTATGAGGTTTGTTGTGTGTTATGAGTGTTTGTTATGAGTGTTTGTTGTGTGTTATGAGTGTTTGTTGTGTGTTATGAGTGTTTGTTATGAGTGTTTGTTAGTGTGTTATGAGTGTTTGTTAAGAGTGTTTGTTGTGTGTTATGAGTGTTTGTTATGAGTGTTTGTTGTTTGTGGTTGTTGTTTGTTATGAGTGTTTGTTGTGTGTTATGAGTGTTTGTTGTGTGTTATGAGTGTTTGTTATGAGTGTTTGTTGTTTGTGGTTGTTGTTGTTTGTTACAGAGTGTTTGTTGTGTGTTATGAGTGTTTGTTAAGAGTGTTTGTTGTGTGTTATGAGTGTTTGTTGTGTGTTATGAGTGTTTGTTATGAGTGTTTGTTGTGTGTTATGAGTGTTTGTTAAGAGTGTTTGTTGTGTGTTATGAGTGTTTGTTATGAGTGTTTGTTGTTTGTGGTTGTTGTTTGTTATGAGTGTTTGTTGTGTGTTATGAGTGTTTGTTGTGTTATGAGTGTTTTGTTAAGAGTGTTTGTTGTGTGTTATGAGTGTTTGTTATGAGTGTGTTTGTTGTTGTGGTTGTTGTTTGTTATGAGTGTTTGTTGTGTGTTATGAGTGTTTGTTTTGAAAAAGACACACACACACACACACACACACACACACACACACACACACGACACATATATGTTAGTCACTGAACTAAAACAAACACCGTATAATCAGTGTTTGTTTGTGATTCATTAGTGTGTGTGTGTGTGTGTGTGTGTGTGTGTGTGTGTGTGTGTGTGTGTGTGTGTGTTTGAAGGCCACGTCACTATGATTTGTGGGTATTAATAAGTTGTCCCGTTAGTATGTCTGTTTAGGGTTTAAATAATCATGTACCGTATAGATAGATCTGTTTTGGCTCCAGAAATTAGTGTTTGTTTGTTTGTTTGTTTTTGTTTGATTGTTTGTTTGTTGTTTGTTTTTTGTTTGTCTTCCCAGCACACCTGTATTAATGTACAGGTTTTAAATTCAGGTGTTGAAAGGTGATATAACACACTTTTAGGTACACACACACACACACACACACACACACACACACACACACACACACACACACACACACACACACACACATGCAATTCTGACGCCACCTTGGTATCGTGAAATCAAGAAATTAGACAATAATTACCATAAGCACCTTTGAGAATCCTTGTATGTGTCGTAAGTTAAATAAACCAGTTAAATATGTTCTTACATCATCAGTTAAAAGATAAATTTAACTTAGGAACCTTTGAGAATCCACTTTTAAGTTAAGTGAACCAGTTACGACAGCTTCTCAATTATTTATAAGGATTATTTATACTATTTTAATAAGCTCTCAGTTACTATCAGAGCGACACAACCACGATAGTACAATAACGTTACGTGATAATACTGCTGATGAGGGTAGCCACAGTTATCAAAAACAAGGGTGGGGGAAGCTGTCTCTCTCTCTCTCTCTCTCTCTCTCTCTCTCTCTCTCTCTCTCTCTCTCTCTCTCTCATGAACTAGCCAAAGGTCTGACGTTTCGTATTAAAAAAATTAAATAAAAACTAAACAGCTGGCATCTGGACTTCCTCCCACTTTACCACACCTAACCTAACCTAACCTAACCTAACCTAACCTAACCTATCGCTAACAATACAGATAGATAGATAGATAGATAGATAGATAGATAGATAGATAGATAGAAACCTCATCTTGCCTTCAACTTACCTCAATTTGGCTTCACCTGTCAGAGGCTTCACCTGTCAGAGGCTTCACCTGTCAGAGGCTTCACCTGTCAGAGGCTTCACCTGTCAGAGCCTTCACCTGTCAGAGGCTTCACCTGTCAGAGCCTTCACCTGTCAGAGGCTTCACCTGTCACCTTCAACACTCACCTGAAAATAAATAAATAAACATTATTTTGTGTCATAATTAATTATTTATTGTAGGTTTTATTTGATTTTGTTCGTCATGTTTTAAACCAATCAGAATTAAGACACTCATGTCTTTGACCAATGAGCACACAGTTGCAGTTAACCTCGACCAATCAGACCAAAGGGGCACTTAACCTCGACCAATCAGCACAAGGATAATCATACCTTCAATCATCACAAAGACGCACAGTCGACCAATCACCACAAATTCGTTATAGTCCACTAAAGTCAATAGAGATCTTACTAATAATCCATATCATCTGTAATATAGCCGAAATTTATTATAATCCTCAAAATATAGCGACAAAAAAATCGTAAAATTCGATGTAACTTTTTCTGCTAAGTTGACATCATCGCTGAGTCATTGATTTCACCCCAGTCAACATTAAGGTGTGTGTGTGTGTGTGTGTGTGTGTGTGTGTGTGTGTGTGTGTGTGTGTGTGTGTGTGTGTGTGTGTGTCAACAAAGGGCGCGTGTGTTTGTATATCTATAAAAATGGAGGAGTAAATAAGGAACAAATATCTACACTCGTACTAGTAAAATAAATATATAGACAGTATATATACGTCACACTGAGAAAGAGAGAGAGAGAGAGAGAGAGAGAGAGAGTTAATATAACCTAACATAAACTAACCCAAGTTAACCTAACCTAACCTAACCTAACCCAAGTTAACCTAACCTAAACAAAATTAATAAAGTATCAGGTCCCCACAACACCCAGAGTCAGTTCAATGTTGCAATCTTTTCTGTCTGCAACATTGTCCACAGTGAAGAAACAACCTGCTACTTGCAACACTACAGAGTGAGATAATGGAACTCTTGTTGTCTACACTGTTTGCAACAATGACGTCACATGAGTTAGGCAATAATTGTGTCAGCCAGTGTGTGTGTGTGTGTGTGTGTAATAATAATAATAATAATAATAATAATAATTAACGGTTTATTGAAAAAGTTCTGCAGCCCGAAGGCTGAAAATATACATTGGGCATAAATGACTTAATAAGCATATTGGTGTATTTAACAAAAGCTCTCTACAGGAGAAAGGTAAAAGGAACAACAGTGAACATACAGATTAATGTAGGTACAAACAGCAAAAATGTAGTGTAGTAACTCCTCCCAGATGGTGTTAGGAGGGACCTCACGTGGGTGTAGTAGTTCCTCACAGATGGTGTTATGAGGGGCCCCCACTGTGGTGGTGTGTTGGTTCCCCACAGATGCAGGGGCAGGAGGGCCCTTTCACGGTGTAGTAATTCCTCACAGATGGTGTTATGAGGGGCCCCACGTGGTGTAGTAATTCCCTCAGATGGTGTTATGAGGGACCTCACGTGGTGTAGTAATTCTCTCACAGATGGTGTTATGAGGGACCTGGCGTGGCGTGGTAATTCTCTCACAGATGGTGTTATGGGGGGCCCCACGTGGTGTAGTAATTCTCTCACAGATGGTGTTATGAGGGACCTGGCGTGGTGTAGTAATTCCCTCAGATGGTGTTATGAGGGACCTGGCGTGGTGTAGTAATTCTCTCACAGATGGTGTTATGAGGGACCTGGCGTGGTGTAGTAATTCCTCACAGATGGTGTTATGAGGGGCCTCACGTGGTGTAGTAACTCCTTCACATATGGTGTTATGAGGGGCCTCACGTGGTGTAGTAATTCCCTCACAGATGGTGTTATGAGGGGCCTCACGTGGTGTAGTAACTCCTTCACATATGGTGTTATGAGGGGCCTCACGTGGTGTAGTAATTCCCTCACAGATGGTGTTATATGAGTGAGGTGTGGTTCCAGGCCTTCCTATCGTAGACGGATTAACACATCGCTGGTAGTTGGGTCTCACGGGCCGTTATCACTGGGTACCTGGGACCTCACTGTGTGAAAGGTCAACTTGGGTACCACTGTTACTGCTGAGTTGTTCTCACTGACTTAAGCACTGTTCACCACTGTTCACCTCTGTTTAACACTGGTTCCATTTCTTTCCTAAATGAAATAGTAACTTCTGGCGTGAACTTGTTGATATTCCGGTGGGGAGGAGGGTTCAGGGGAGGGAGTTGGTATGGGCCAACATAACAGTTGACCTGGCTGCTCCGAGAGGAGCGCCAGGTACGTCTTGACCCTTCGGTGGTCAAGGATGTGTGTGTGTGTGTGTGTGTGTGTGTGTGTGTGTGTTGAGAGAGAGAGAGAGAGAGAGAGAGAGAGACTAACACATACTAAAATTTCCATTCACATTTTCTTTACAAAATTTTATATGTATTTATCATAATTCAAATCTGAAATGAACAAGGTAGTGGCGTGCAAGTTCTCCCCCACAGTGCCATAATACAGTCCCAAGGTGCCATAATTCTGTACACTAATGGCACCAAACGTTCAATGTCCCCCACAGTGCCATAATACAGTCCCAAGGTGCCATAATTCTGTACAATAATGGCACCAAACGCTCAATATCCCCCACAGTGCCATAATACAGTCCCAAGGTGTCATAATTCTGTACAGTAATGGCACCAAACGTTCAATGTCCCCCACAGTGCCATAATACAGTCCCAAGGTGCCATAATTCTGTACAATAATGGCACCAAACGCTCAATATCCCACACAGTGCCATAATACAGTCCCAAGGTGCTATAATTCTGTACACTAATGGCACCAAACGCTCAATATCCCACACAGTGCCATAATACAGTCCCAAGGTGCCATAATTCTGTACAATAATGGCACCAAACGCTCAATATCCCACACAGTGCCATAATACAGTCCCAAGGTGCCATAATTCTGTACAATAATGGCACCAAACGCTCAATATCCCACACAGTGCCATAATACAGTCCCAAGGTGCCATAATTCTGTACAATAATGGCACCAAACGCTCAATATCCCACACAGTGCCATAATACAGTCCCAAGGTGCCATAATTCTGTACAATAATGGCACCAAACGCATTGACGCACCGACGCATTGACGCACCGACGCATTGACGCACCGACGCATTGACGCACCGACGGAAGGCCACACTGACGCACGCACGGCCAAACAGACTGACGGACACCCACCAGTACAAACTCTTCGTCCCTTCACCAACCCAAAAAAGCCACTCACTTAATCTACGCTCCTTAATAAGCCACCCAGACTCACTCCCTGTCCTCATAAGCCACCCACAAGCCAGCCAGCCAGCCAGCCACAAGCCAGTAAGCCAGCCACAAGCCAGCCAGCCAGCCAGCCATCACTACCATTAACTACTGTCGACTGTACTTTTAAAAGGCTCCTCCCTGGCCTCTCTCTCTCTCTCTCTCTCTCTCTCTCTCTCTCTCTCTCACACACATACATACATAAATACAGACACACACATATATATACATACATACATACGTACATACATACATATATACATACACACAAACATACGGAGAAAAAATCCTTTACACATCTTTGAGCCGGACCAAAAACGTCAAGAGCCAATCAGAAACGAGGATAGAAAGCGGGGTTAAGACTCAAGAGCCAATCAGAAACGAGGATAGAAAGCGGGGTTAAGACTCAAGAGCCAATCAGAAACGAGGATAGAAAGCAGGTTAAGACTCAAGAGCCAATCAGAAACGAGGATAGAAAGCGGGGTTAAGACTCAAGAGCCAATCAGAGGCGAGGATAGAAAGCGGGGTTAAGACTCAAGAGCCAATCAGAGGCGAGGATAGAAAGCGGGGTTAAGACTCAAGAGCCAATCAGAAACGAGGATAGAAAGCAGGGTTAAGACTCAAGAGCCAATCAGAAACGAGGATAGAAAGCGGGGTTAAGACTCAAGAGCCAATCAGAAACGAGGATAGAAAGCAGGGTTAAGACTCAAGAGCCAATCAGAAACGAGGATAGAAAGCGGGAGCCAATAGTTGTTCCAGACATAAAACTCAAGAACCAATCAGAGATACGGAAGGAGATGTAAGCGGCCAATGAATGCCAAGTTATAAAATGGCCCAGCAGCCAATCAGGCGCGGGGAAGCATTGATGACGAGCCAATGACAAACCGACTGACGGAAATAACACCCAATCAGAGGGCATAGGTGAGAGAGAGAGAGAGAGAGAGAGAGAGAGAGAGAGAGGCATAAATTTTTTACGTATAGACAACCAATCAGCTTTCGTTTCATGTATATAGACAACCAATCAGCTATCGTTACGTATAGATAGACAACCAATCAGCTATCTCGTTAAAAAGGTCAATAACCCATCACCTCCCGTTACACTGAGAGCCAATGTATTTGCTAACGTGAACCAATCGTCTCTCTATATGCAGATGAAGAACCAATCTTGATGGCAGCTACGTTGAGATCGACAATAATCAGAATAAAGAGAAAAAATACGACCAATGGCGGTTATGTGAGTACCTAATATAACAACACCTCAGTCTGTGGCTATTGGTTGTGACAAATAAACCCTCACCCCACCACTTACACCCTCACCCCACACCCCTCCCCTCACCCACCACCCGTCCTCACCCACCTCACCACACCACCCCACGATGTCACCCCACACCCTCACCCCCCACACACCACACACCACCAACGCCCTCACCCCACCCTCACCCACACCACCCCACACCCTCACCCCACCCCACGCCCTCACCCCACCCCTGCCCCATCACTTTACCACCCCTTCTTTACGCCTAACCCCACACCACCCGCCCTGCCCACCACTCCTCACCCACCACCCTCCCCCGCCTCACCCCACACTTCTGCACCACCCCACGCCTCACCCCACACCACCCGCCCCTCACCCACCCCCTCACCCCATACCCCTCACCCCCACGCCCTCCCCACACCACCCCACCCTCACCCCACCCCCCACACCCCCTCACCCCACCACCCCACGCCCTCATCCTATACCCCGCCCCTCACCCCACACCACCCCGCCCTCTTACACCGCTTACGCCCTCACCCCATACCCACCCCACGCCCTCATCACCTTCCTTCCTTGACCCTCCCTTCCCCCCTC